CATCGCTATTAAAATATAGAAGGTACACTTTTTGCACCATTGCTCTAGTAGCAGTAAAAAGATCACAATGTTGCCGAAGATTAGTTTTGTACACTTACGAATTCGAACACCATGTTCTCTAAAATTTTTGCTGCTCCGGAGGGACATCACTTTCGAAGATACTATTTCCATATTATTTAAAATTTGAACAATCTTATTCAAGTACCTTCTTTCGTTTATGTTGTTGTTATTTTTTTTTTAAATGGGTGTGACATTCTTGCAATCATCAGAGCTAATGTTGAAAATATCACACTGAACGAACATATGAATTCGGCAGAATTCAGACATGTAAAAAGGCTTTATCGAGGAAACTTCAAGGTGCCTTAACTGTTTATTTTTTCAGTTCTAACTTCAATTTTACACTCTTCGTAATGTATAGAAAAAGTTTTCTAATATAGGTATATATATTTCATTTAATAAATTTTTTTGCGAAGTTACCTTTCCGCATCTTCTTCTTTTCTTTCCTAACAAAAAATTAAACTTGACAACGAAATCCAATAAAATACATTATTTATAGCAACCGCAACCAGGTAACGGTAACAAAATAGTACAAAAAAAATAAAATTTTTTGGAATTCGGTAACGTCAAAATTTATACAAAAGCAAATTAAAATGGATGATTGCGAGCGACCTTGAAAATGTAAGCTCACATGTTGGAGTTTGTAGATGAGCATTTTTCTTAATTTAATTTTATTTTATTTTGTGGGCGTTTCATCATGTTTATCTACTCATTTCTATGCTTTTGGCGAATTTAATGTCACTCAGTGAAACAATTTTGGAATAAATGCATTAAAAACACGCGATAATAACTGTCGTGCCATAGTTGCTGTCATACGATTTGCTTCATTAAATGAAGAGTAGCGTAGGGATATAATTAAATTGCATTTAATATCATAAGCATTTTTTTGGAGTTTGATGAGTGATTTATCTTTGGATTTGAGAGTGGATTTATCTTTTTTTTTAATGATTCCTTATATAGTAAAATTTTTTTAAATATAAGCTAAAACTAAAATGTTTTTAAAATATAAACTAAAACTCACATTTTTTTTTAAATATTTCCTATATTATCTTTGGCTTGCATTTTTTCAAAGGGACAAACCGTTTCAAAAATATCTCCGACAGAAATCATTCGTAAATCTGTAATATTACATTTTCAGTCAAGCAGGTTGACTAAATTTTTTGTTTAAACAGTCATAGAATGTTTCAAAAATATTTTCACCTTAACCCTTCTTAAGTGTCTTTCTATAGTATACAAATTTCGTTTCATATACATATTGTAGTGTAGTGGCACTAACACTCTTTCAAAAATATTATATATCTGACAGATATCTTGTTATATGTATTTTATTCAAAATTAATTTAGGTATGTAGAATATTGTAAACGTGTGACAATTCTCCTCAAAAATATTTTGTACTGAAATTCCTTTTAAGCAATTTTAATTCTACTTATATCCCAATTTTGATCATTTAAGATCTAATATCTTATCTGATCAATTGATTTCAATTCAAATTTTTGTAAAGGTGGCAACAATCCAAAACATTTTCAACTGTAACCTTTTTAATTTGACCTTCTTTTCTTCTATTTGACTCCAACATCGTAGTTTCTTTTTATATATTATTATTTTTGGTAACCATTTTTGAGCAGGTGGCAACTTTGTAAGGTTTTTATGTTTTTTAATATTTATTTCGAACCATCTAAGAACTATATGAAACAGTTAAAAATAGTAATAATAGTTGCTAACTCTTCATAACTATTAATAGTTAGTGTCGAATGCAACCCTGGTGCTATTTTCATATATAATATTTATTCAAATATTTACATAATTTTTTCTGAATCATTTATTTTGAAACAAGTTTTAGAAAATATAGAAAATAATAAATAATAGAGATTTCTGTATGTAATCGTAAAAGGATCGATTGACCTCAAAATAATTGAGAAAAGAAAGAAAAGGGAATCAGTTGAGGAGTGCCAATGCTTGTATATATGAGTAGTGTGTATGTAGATATGTAGCTTGTTATCAAAAAGAAGCCTATTTACATATCTGATAATCAATTTATGGCACTTACTTCTAGTAAACACAACACTTATTTACTTGAGAAAAAAAATTTGAAAATAAAAGCATTTGTTTGCTTATCATTATCAGCACTATGGCACTTTGTGTTACTGTTTTCGTGGCTGTAAATATATGTATGTGCCCTATATAGTCGTTAAATCCTGCTCTTCAAATATTAATTATCGCTAATTTTTTAGACAATCAAATTTTGAGAACTATTCCACGAATTTTTATGTACCTGCTCATAGAATTCGTGCTAAATCGCTTGCTTATTTATCCGCTATTATCCGAAACTTTGCTCTTTTAACTCGCTATTTAACAGATTTTTCACGGTCTTCGAATTCATTCTTTGTATAAAGGATATGTGTTTAGAAGTCTACCTGCGAACTGAGCGCATTTCTGAGTTTAGTTAAATGTCGTGGTCTGTCCGAAGTAGTCGTGTCTTCTTTTTTTTGAAACTAAAAGTGTGTGTTTTTTTATAAATTTTTAATCGTGTGAATTGTTTTTAAACTTTGTGAATATTATTGGTGGAAACAAAACAATCCTCCTTGTGTGGCTTAGTAAAAGTGTAAAGTGAATACTAAAACGTATAACTTTTTTTTTAAATAAATATACCTATCGTCTGAGAACTAAGCCCTAGGTACCTGCAAAGATATTAAAAAATTGCTGAGCATTCAACAACAAAAGTGCATCGTCCAAAATATTATCAAGAATTCTCAAGTAAATAAGCATCAATAGCTAATCTCCTAAATTATTAAAACAAACACAATTCTGAATATTTCTACGTCCGCTTTTATATACTAAGCAGATCATTTCAAAAATCACCTTCGCAGCATAACAGTTAAAAAACTTCTACCATAGAACCACAAGTTCCAAACCATCTCGGCATGACCGACAAAATTATTTATATCGTGTCACGTATCACCGTTAAAAATCACATAATTCCTTGACAGCACCAGAGTTGAGCAAAGATGTCGTGAAGCAAAAATAAAAACGATTACATTTTGCTCTTTACACTAAATTTCCGTCTATAATGACATGCTTACACGTCTTTAAATTATCATTGCACTCTAGTTTGTGTTCAATTTCATGCAACAGTCATACAAATTATGATATTATTTATGAGACTTTATCCCATTACTTTCCCTACAATTCGCTGTCGAGACTAGAATTTTCGCAGTCTCGTATTTTTATAGTCTTCTTAACTGGCAGTTCATCAATGTGAAAGTTCTATGCTATACGGTGTGAACTTAATACCCAGTAGAAAATGTGAGAGTAATATATGCCCGTTAGGAAAAATGTTGCATTTGCTGTGGTGGGCTAAAATTTCTCATGGAAAAATACTTAGTTACGAGGGTTACAATTCCTGCTACTTGTGTACTTTACATATTCAATTTGTAGCACAGCTATCCTGATTTTCGGCCTATTTTTATCCTAAGGACTTTTTGGAGCATTACTAAAATATATAGAAATCATGGAGCCAAATCATTTCTAATAGAATTTATAGTCGCTTTGATTCTACGTGAATTAAAACAACGCTCGGCATCCATAAAAATTAATTAGAAGATCCGAATGTATTGCTGAGCTTAACAAGGCTCAAAGGGTGAACTTTATCTAAAGTAAGCAAATCAACCATCTAATATAAAGTCTGGTCCGCCTTATGGTTGTTTAAATATATATTACTCATGAACTAGTTACTTTTTGAACTAGTTAGATATTTTTCAGTAGAGAATGCTGTGTGTTCACATATTTGTTATATAGATATTCTCATGAATACCTCGATGAATTTAAACCTTGCAGTAAATCGACCCATTCTCAAACTAGCTCAGAACCACCTCATAAGAAGACTGTACTGGCTCTCAGTTTATTCCAAAAATATGTTTTCAACTATCTGCAAAACTTTAGAAACGCGTTTTAACTGATTTAATGTGGCAGAGTTTTTCCTGCATATTGGCAAAAAGATCTCGTTACTGATAACTGACTAACTTTGAATGCATTTTCAACTGTGAACGCTTTTTTCGACTATGCCCCTATTTTCCTGTAGGGAAGTTAGCTAGACAGCCAATATATAATATATAAGTACACACATTTGTCTGTTAAAGGAAAAGCATTTTCCCTTTGGCGCGTAAGACCCATTTCGCCGTCACACAATAGATATTGCATGGTCACGATTTCCGTATTAGAGTTTTTTTGTTTATATTTTTCATTTCATAGAATCAAATGCAGTTTATGCAGCTGGGAAAGTAACTGCGCGGAATTGCTTAGCGCTCGAGGGCTCAAAGCGCAGCACAGAGCTTACTCTTCACTTAACTTACTTAACTTCTACAACAACAATTTGTTCTAAAAGACGCTAGTAGTCAATGTTAGCAGACGTCTTTTTACAGCTAAGAAGTAAAGTAGATATTTTCGTATGATTGTTGCTGTAATAACAGCCAGCGCTCCCAGTTGTAAGCGCTGCTCATTAGTCGGCGCTGCTCACTCGGCCGCTCCGGAGTTTTGGGGCGTACAAGGAAGTAGTTAGCCGCTGCATTCTACGCTGACGCTGGGGTTTATTTCATACGTGGATACGGAGACGTTTAAGTATCTGCACATGCATTGCGTTATTGCCTAAACTCGCCTAGCCGTTAGCCGGTCTTTGGTGGTTGCTTCGCAAGCGTAGAGGAAAACGAAAATAAAAAATAAAAATATATATTTTTTAATTTATTGCCGGAAAATTGTTAGCCGCCTTGCGTGTTAACGACTTCGACACGAATTTAGTTGCCACATTCGCGTGTCTTCCGTATGGTAGACTATCTTGTTACACAACTCGGCGATTTTCCGAAGTTTGCCATAATTTTTTATGATTTTACGTAATTTCTATTAAATTTATAATAAACCTTACACTTCCCCCTTTTTCTTCTCTTCGCAGCTCCAATTTCATTGCGAAAAGTAAAAGTCATTCTGCCATTGTCGCCGCTGCACAACCTTCGACCGGCGGCATACCCATTGGCACTGGCCCTCAATTGCCACCATTCGGTAGCGGCGGTTTTGTCAAATTACGGCATGTAGACAAAGCACCAGAACAACAACAGCAACAAGAAGAACAGCAACCAGGTGCACAGCATCAATCCGCCGCTGAGTCAAATCGCAGCAACTTACCCAACGCACAAAGCGTACAAAACTTACAAGAAGAAGAAGAAGGTGAGGCCGCGCAGGCGCGTAATCCCACTGCTTTACCGGCATTCTTACAAGGCGGTCTTCGACGCAGCTTAACAGAGGTGAGTGAATCGAAGTGTGAGTCATTGGCAATTAAATTTGGTGCGACGAACTTCAATAAAAAATACTGATTATATATACCTATATATATATATATGTACATATGTATTGTGTGTACATATAAAAATCTTGTGAAATGTGAATTCAGTGATCCATATCGAAGAACTGTGAAACTCAGACAATGAAAAATAAAATTTTGGTGAGTCATCATCAAACCAACGGAAAAATGAAGTGGGAAAGCCCATATACATGTTTCTACGCTTCACTTTATGAGCAATAATGCTGCCGTAAGCCTGCTGAAGATTGGAAAATTTGTCAGTTCCAATGATTAATAAGTGTTTTAGCTTTTCTTGCGGAGCCAACCTGTGCAGGAGCTTAACTGATCTCCAAAATATCCGCTTTAAGCGACCACTGAAGCTTGTGACTGATTAGGAGCCGCAAAAAAAAAAATTTTTGTGGTAGAAAAGTATTATCTAAATTCGAAAGTGGAAATTTACTTGTCAAATAAAACAAAAAAATCGCTGGTGGAGAAAATTTTCGAAGTCAAGAAAAATCGCTGAAATATTTCTAAAATATGCGATTACTTAAAGAGGATATGTACATTGAGACAGGCAACTTTACTAAAAATTCTCCCACAAATTTCAAGTATTTTCTCTTGTGATGGCGGATCTTAACACGCGTTTTCTTAACATGAATGTGGACTGGAACCTATAAATTATGCACTATTCGGCTTAGCGTTACGGAAATTTTTAGAAAAACTTGCATACACCCCTTACCAATCAATCAACTAAGACAGTAAATGTCTTTAAATTGTTTTATTTAAATTTGGTATCCCCTCACAACATATACGAATGCATTAAATTTAATTGAAGACTCGGGGCATAACTGAGACTAAGGAATGAAATACATCAGGCATGAAGTATTGGTCCCGAGAAAACTGTCGGCGCTATGGAAGCTTTTGCTCTTTCCGGACAACAAGTGTAACCGTGAAACTACTTCATAGCGGTGTTTTATGATGTTTAAGCATAATCCGAAAGAGTTTCTGTGTAGTGTAGTGACCGTCGACGAAACATGGAAACATCACAAACCAATTAACAGTTGAAATAATTTTTTTCTTTTGATTTTACCCTGCGTACCTGCTGCAAAAAAAGCCCTGACTTTTTATCGGTCAGTACTCCGTGATAACGCTTGCATAGTATTCGAAAACAGTCTTTTAAAGAAAAAGTGGTCGGAAGTGACAACGAAAGATTTTTCGTCTTTTGCATATCATTTTACCTATTTTCACTCATTAACCAAAGTTTGATTTGAATTACCCAATAGAGATCTCAAGCAAACTATTTTCCTTTTTCTTAGGTCATGGGTCCTGATCAACGCACAATTACAGTCGGTTGTAAGACAGGTTCGATCGCCGATCGGCTTGCGGCGCTGCAAAAGAGCGGAGAGGATGATTGGAAGAAGAGAATCTCACGGCGCGACGAAGTCGATGAAATACGACGGGAGAATCTAGTAAATGTGAGTCGAATTTTTTATTATTACTATTATTAAACATAGGAGTATATACAATATATGTAATATATCGGCCCCATAAGTGCTTGTGATGTAATCGTAAACAAACAAGAATAGCGGTGTAAAAAAGTTTGTTGTAATGTGTGATAATGAAAGAAAAGTTCCAGTCTTAATTTTTTCGTGGTTCGCCGCCGCTAACTTTATTGCTGCGTTATTAGTGTTGAAGGCAATACTTGTTCTTGTTGCAATTTTTTTTAAGTTTTTGTATGGTTTTTTAAATTTATTTTTCCTATGCTTTTTTTTAATTTTTTGAGAATTGTTTTTTTTTTTTTATTATATTTTTGCCAGTTATTTTTTTATTAATTTTTTGACTCTAGTGCACGCCTCGTTAGCCCATTGTTGTCAGCATGACAGCTGGTGTGAATGCGGTAAATGCGGCAGTAAGGCACAACAAAATGCCATAAATAAATAAATAAGCAAAACTGAGAAAAAAAAACAAAGCAACCAAAAGCTAAACAATAACAAATATGTAACACAGAAAAGGCGGCAACTACATAACCGATTCGAATTGTTGTCTGCAATATTTATGTACGTTTGGTCATATGCGGGTGGCGGTGGCAGCGCAGAAGTCAGTCCGCCAGCCACTAAGTCTCCCGTTCCGCCACCGTCGCGCCCACAAGTGACGCGTGTCATGTGAAACTCTATAGTGCCCGCTAACGACGCATTGTTGTCGCCCATGAAAAGCTGAATGGCAACAATGGCAGACAAGCAGCCAACTGCAGCAGTAAAAGTGTTTCCTTGTTGCAAACAAAAACAACAACGCGAAACGAAAAAATGCAGCAACAAATCCACTTTACAGTAGCAAACGACTTTTTTGCAGAGTTGCATGGGGTGGCAGTGTGGTGGGCGCTTATTCACACGTATGTATGTATGTATGCGAGCGCTTGATATGCCGTTGCGCACGCGCAGATTTATGCCGCACAAAGCGCTTCATTGTTCGTTTTGTTGCTGCTAACTGTTTTTTATTGTTCTCTTCCTCGTGCTCCAATTCTTTTGTTGCATCATTTTTTACTTCATTTTTCTTACTCCACACTTTGACTGAAAGCAAAAGTGTCACAAATTAAAAAATGATGTCTCTATTGCATTCTTCTCTCGATTACTACATTGTTTTTGTGTTCTTTTGTCATTCTTGTTGCAGAAATATCTTAACGCAACTTTAAAAGCAACTTCACTTTTAATTAAGTAATAACCGTTGGCTTTGTGCGTCAGCGTGTGACTTTAATGCGGACATAAATTCGTAACAAAGCCGAGAGCAAGTCCCAGACATATTTGTTGTTGCTATTAAGAGTAAGAGTCGCATTACAAATAAGTAGATTCGTGGTAGCATTTTTGGTAGCACAGTAAATTTCCTACAAAACTATGAGCGTTGCTATTGAAATTGTTGTTTTTTCACTGAGTTTTAAAATTCAAAAGAAAAAAACAAATTTGCCTTAAAATAGTCAAACTTCAACCGTTGATATCTTTTAAACGGTTAAGTTTACGAAAAAACCATAAGCGACGATTTTGTAGAGCATTCAACTACAAAATAATAAAAAACGAGATATGAATCTTTCTATCCGTTCATAAAAAAATATAAATAACGGTAAAGCGATGGACCTTCCCATTGCAATTAAGAGCTGATACTTGGAGAGCCTTTCTTAGATGTGTCTACCAACCAATTTTTCGGAAAACCAAGCGAAAAAAACGTTTGATTTTTTTTTTACCCATATACATTTAGTAGTTAAAGAATAGAAGTTCTGTAAAATTCTGCTATATTATTATCTATGTATATAATCTCAGCAAGTGAGTCAAGGTCATCTTTTACCCCAAATCTACTATTGTTCCTATTATTCGTGCGAAAGCTGTCTTAGTAGGGAGGCTTGGAATAAAGATAAAAAATTTAAATATCAAGAGTTGGACTTTAGTGGTGCAAAATAATTCTCACCGAATTTTAAGACACTCGAAGGACGAAAAATCAGTGAAGATATACTTAATTATTGCAAAGCTAAAAAATGTAATTTTTTCAAACAAACGTATGTGCATTTGAGAATATTTACATTTTAAAACCCCGACCATTTTTTGATATTGAGTTCTCGTGCTCTTAAAGGTCTCCGCAAAAAAGTATCTTACGGTGAGCAAAATATCTCTGTTTGAAATTATGTGAATTAAAAAAAAAATAAAGAATTTATTTTTCCGTTAGATAAATACAGTTAATAAGCAAAGGAATAGTAAAAATTTCGAGTGTTGACAAAATTGCGCCTTTTCTTATTTTGTTCCGAAAAAATCTTCATCCTAAAGTGTCTTGAAAAAATAGAAATATTTGTCGAAAATCGTATTACATTGTTCATTTAATTGAGGATTATATGTAATAAAAATTTTGTATAAATTTCAAAATAATCGTTCAACCATTTCGGAAAAATTATGCTCGACGAGCCTAAAAAACCGTTTCGAGAAAAACTCGAAAATTCAAAACGGACATAACCCTTTAAATGGTTGTAAATTTCACTTCTGCGAGATTGTTCAGTTTTGGCAACAATTAGGCTTTTGATTCGAAATTTGATTTTGAAATTTGGCGAGAAATCCTAATTATGATTGCTTTTAACAAATAAAATTTTTCAACAGCTCGAAAGCTACCCTGCTACGAAAATTCTTCTGGGCAAAATTAGGCACTTTGGAAAGAAACTTCGCTGGAATACTTCTCATGTAAAAAAAAAATCTGTTGAAATGTGCAAGTCTCTTGAGAAACAAGATACCTACACTCCTCACCTCAGTAACTCATCTAATTGTTATTCGCTGATTCCAGAAAAACATTTTCTTCACTCCTTTCCCACTACTTTCTTTGATAATATTAGTCATGCTTGGCATCTTCTCGACGTTCTTGAACGAGCTTTTATAAATATATATATATTGTTAGTATTTTTTTTTACTTCAAGTAGAATCTCAGTACGCCACAGTCAATATTAAAAGTATGTTTATAAAGACTGTAATTTTTATAGTAAAAACTCTTGGTCTTTTAAAGTTAAAAATGTGAACTTAAGAAAGATCAGTTCTGTCTGTGGCCGCCTATGTGTGGTAAATTAATTATTCTAAGGACAAATATTTTTTTTTTTATTATATATTTTTGTGTATGTTCGATATTTAAATATCAGACGGAATATTATTAAAAACTTACTTATTAAAATTAAGTAATATAAAATAATTTTGTTTTTAACCATTTATATTATATAATATATGTATATGAATATGTACGAATATATGTAGAGCGCTTCCCATTACAATCACCTTACCTCAACATTCACCACACAGTAGTGGCAATGTTTAAAGTATACTCTCATATCACTACAGACTGAACACATGGCACAACATTGAGAATTGCAGCATACTTTCAGGCGTACTTGCGAACAGTGTTGTGTATATTAAGCAGTGTTAACTGCAACAGTGAAATATTTCGAACTTCGAATATGTTATTTCTTTAAGTATAATTTAATGGTGAAATAAATATATATTAGAAGCCATATCAGAACTTTAAAGACTCTACTAACTAAAAAGTCTTATCCAAAATGATTGGCAATTTTTTTTTTTTTTTTTACTTAAAACTTGCTTTGTTTTTATTTTGTAATTTTTAAAGAAATAAGTTTTATTGAAAAAACTGAATTATTTAAGCAAATTTTATGCAATTTGGTCTAAAAGTCGACAACTGCAAACCAGCTTTTCAACTGAACTCTACATAAGGAAGTGCGTTTTTGATAACTAAAGTAATTTTTCTATTAAATTGCTAATACTCTCGGTATTCGGATTCCCCGTAAAATCACTTTCGATTGCCACTTTGCTGAATTTATCGTCGGTCTCCATTCACTCCTATCCGTCAAACGCTTTCATTTTCATGTGCCATAAGGAAATGACCAACAAGTGACACTTAGTTAGCTGGTCGCCACAAATACTCGTCAATAAAGCAATCACAACAGTGCCTCATTTGGTAGCAACAACTATGCGCAACGATCCGATCAACTATCGTGTTACGCGTGTGAGTGAAATAATAATGAGCGTTTGAGTTGGTTATGTTGTGGACTGGACATGTTCGCATGCAGCTAGAAATATCATAATAAATTTAATAAATAGACGGTGAAAGAAAAAACTCGTAAAATTATAAATAATTTAATTACAAAATTTACGTATTCAAATGGTTGTAATAGTTGTAACAGCAGGTGTCTTTGACTTTGTGAGTCAGTCAATAGGATATTTACTTTATTGTTATCAATTTTGTTTGAAATTTTGTTATTAATTGATATTATTTCTATATTGCGAAAGATTTGTGGACTTCCTAAAAAATATTTTTCAATAATTTTTAATATCAATTAGTATTATTTGATGTATTTCGAAGTGAAAGGAGTAAAACTTTGATTTTAAATACAAACATTACTTCTCTACTCTTGATATTCAATCTTGAAGTATTTCACGTTTTTCGATTTTTGTTCTTTTTTTTTAATTTTTATATTTTGAAAAACGTCGATCGAACTATTTGTTCTCAAATCTGTCCAAATTTTTATTCGTTCCGTATTTGTTCTGGTTTGTATTGGTTTTAGTTTGCATTAAAACCGACTACTTTAAAATATATTATATAAAATGCTGAACTTTTCAGGTATTAACCTGTAGAGCTGTCAAAAAATAAAAATCGCTTAGAATGGGGAGAATAACACCAAAAAGTATGGGACTATTTTTGAAAAAATCTGGTTGTGTTGCCAAATTATTTGTATACATATTGTATTATAATGTACAGTTGTAGCCTTAAACTTCTTAGTGGGAGAAAGCTTTAAATTATCCCCTAATTTTTAGTATTATCAGCAAGAGAAGTGCTTTCGAGATTATTTGCTGACAAAATCTTTTCATTTTGTTGACACGGGGAATTAAACTAATATTTTGAAAGACAACTATACAATTACACGAACTGTTATATTCTATTATTTCTT